TAAGAAATTCTGTCAATTTAACTGATAATATCACAATACTGTTTGGTTTTACTGCAATAAAACATACATATTTGTATTCAGAAATGTCTATGAGTAAAACAGTAACCCCCATGTATAGGTTTTATGGTGTTTTGGAAAGTTACAGGGTCAAATATACATCTTGTCTATTTATTTATTTTTTACATAGAAATTTCACAGATTGGTTTGCTGGGCCTAGGTTGCCTTTGAGACTGTATGGCAGCCAAGAAATGTAAGTTACCCCATCATGGCATACCATTTGAAAAAGTAGACATCCCAGGGTATTCAAAATGGGGTATGCCCAGTCTTTTGTAGTAGCCACTTGGGCATAAACGCTAGCCAAAGTTAGTGTTTGTTTTTATTGTTTTCATTTTTCAAATAAAAACTGTACTTTTACTGATAATATTATTGTCAGTATATACTTTACTGCCCTGAAACACTCCTAGTTCTATTCAGTGATGTCTCACAAGCGGCACGGTACCCCCTTTGTATAGGTTTTATGCAGTTTTTGAACATTACAAGGTCATATATAAAGATTATCCATTTATGCTTTTTTACAATGAAATTTGTCAGAATAGTTTGCTGTGTCTAGGCTGCCTTTGAGGGCGGATGGCAGCCAAGAAATGAAAATTACCCCTTAATGGCATACCATTTGAAAAAGTAGATATCCCAGGGTATTCAAAATGGGGTATGGCCAGTCTTTTGTAGTAGCCACTTGGGCACAAATGCTAGCCAAAGTTAGTGTTCGTTTTTTTTTTTGCATTTTTCACAGAAAAACCTTTTTGGTTTTACACATTGAATATTGGCAAAGCAATTTTCTGGGCCTATCTTGCCTTTGAGAGAGCATGGCAGCCTGGGTAATAACATTTCCACTATTATGGCATACCATTTTCAAAAGTAGGCAACCCAGAGTATTTCAAATGGTGCATTTTAAGATGTTTGATCTAACCACTTTATCATAAATGAAGGGCCCACATAGCAGTAATAGTTTTATTTGTGCTTTTTTCCACACATGAACTCACTTTTCACAGGACATTTCCTATTCCTGGTATGAGTTATTGCAACAAAGCCTCACTATTTTTTTTTTACATTGTCTCCTGAATATAACAGTACCCCCATGTATTGGATTTTCTGTTTTTTTGGGGAAGTCACAGGGACAAATATATTAGATGTCCATTTCAAAGTTGGAAATTTGACAAAGTGATTTTCTGGGCCTATGTGGCTATTCAGAGAGCATGGCAGCCTGGGTAATAACATTTCCACCGTTACGGCATACCATTTTCAAAAGTAGACAACCCAGAGTACAACAAATGGCAGACCTTCAGATGCTTGGTCTAGCCATTTTAACAGAAATGATGGGCCCATGTAGCAATTTCTACTTTTATTTTTGTCTTTTTAATCACATAAATTGCATTTTCACTAGAAATGTCATAATCCTGGTATTAGTTAGTGCACTAAAACCTCAGTATTTTGATTTAACACTGTCTTCTGAATATAACAGTACCCCAACGTATCATTATTTCAGATTCTTTCCGATAAGTACAGGGCAAAATATATTAGATTCCCTTTTAGCTTGTAAGTTTGACAAAGTGATTTTCTGGGCCTATGTGGCTATTCAGAGAGCATGGCAGCCTGGGTAATAACATTTCCACCGTTATGTCATACCATTTTCAAAAGTAGACAACCCAGAGTACAACAAATGGCAGACCTTGAGATGTTTGGTCTAGCCATTTTAACAGAAATGATGGGCCCATGTAGCAATTTCTACTTTTATTTTTGTCTTTTTAATCACAAAAATTGCATTTTCACTAGAAATGTCATAATCCTGGTATTAGTTAGTGCCCTAAAAACCTCAGTATTTTGATTTAAGACTGTCATCTGAATATAACGATACCTACATGTACAATGTTTCCAGGTTTTTAGTATATCACAGGAATAGTGCAGTACCCCCACATACACTTTGATCTGAAGGCAGATAGAGGCAGATAGATCTTTGACTCAGATACTGTAGCATTAACCCTGTGATTAGTTTTTTGCTTTTTTGTGAAGGCACATTTCAAGTACTACAAATGTAGTATTTTGATTTGTTTGGTGTAGCCACTTTAAAATGGCTAGCATAAACAGGGACAGGCCAAGGTCAGGGGAATCCAGAAGTCAGAGAAGTCGGTAAAACAAGCCAATGGGTCTGTACAGGCAGCTAATGAAGCGTAGTCAGGACAAGCCGAGGTCAGGGAATCCAGGGAAATCAAGCAAACAAACTGCCAAAGAACCATACAGAGTGATTTAGTAGTTCAGCTCTGTATAGTAGACTTTGAAACAGTCTGTTATGCAGAGGGCGGGTAGGGATGGACAGGAGGGGCAATAATAACTGGAGTCCTTTCGGACTCCTCTTTTCCAGCAAACACAGCATCTTCATTGGGGTGACCTTTTACAGGGTGTGGGGGGAGTTCGGGAAGGGAAATGTTTGCTGAAAAGTCGTTGGACATCTTCTGATTCCAAAGGAGGGTTAGGATTTGGGGTCTGGGCAAATATAATTTGAGACAAAATTTGGACCATAAACTCTAGAAATGGGCATGGTCTACCTATGGCTTCCATTTTATAAAGCACATAGGCATTGAAAATTGCAATCTGGGTTATGTAGATTGCAATTTTCCTGTACCAGGTCCTACTCTTCCAGTTCACCAGATAAGGCTGTGTGCACTGATCAGCCAAGTCTACTCCCCCCATAAACTTGCTGTAGTCTACATTGCACTTCGGCTTCTCCAGCTGCTCAGTTCCACCTCTCACAGACACTGGCACTGAAGTTTCGTCGTGCATTGTAGACAACATGTACACATCTTTCCTATCGGTGAAGCGAAGGGCAAGCAACTCATCCTGGCGGAGCGCTGAAAGGGAGCCTCTACTGCGTCTACCTCTTGCCAGGGTTTGGGGGAAACCTCTACGATTCTTGCACATTGTGCCACAGGCTACGGTCTCAAAGCAAAATAGAGTTTTAAATAACTCTATGCTTGTGTAATAGTTGTCAACCCATAGCCTGTATCCCTTATTTAACAAGGGATGGATTAGGTCCCATACTATCTTGCCACATGTACCCACAAAATCAGGGCATCCTGGTGGGTCAAGATGGCTATCCTTCCCCTGATAAATACGAAACGCCCATGTATATCCAGATTTGGATTCACACAATTTATACAATTTTACACCGTATCGGGACCGTTTAGAAGGGATATACTGCTTAAAAAGTAATCTACCCTTAAACGTCATTAAGGACTCATCTATACAAATATTTTCTTCAGGGACATAATTTTGGGAGAATTTGTCTGACAGGAGTTCAATTAGGGGCACAGTGTGTTATCGTTGAAGTGGAGGAAACGCAGCGGCTGCTCATAGCGATTCCTCTTCATAACCCCAGGGAAAAGAGGGGTAGCCAGGATGGGGTGCTTGTACAAGTATTTATTTATTTATTTATTATTGCCATTTATATAGCGCCAACAGATTCCGTAGCGCTTTACAATATTATGAAAGGGGATTTAACTATAAATAGGACAATTACAAATAAACTTACAGGAACAATAGGTTGAAGAGGACCCTGCTCAATCGAGCTTACATTCTATAGGAGGTGGGGTGTAAGACACATTAGGACAGGAATGTACAATCAAATAAGGTGGGCTGCCCTTTAGGAGAGGGCAAGAGATGGGTATGTGAGGTAGGGGTTAGTCTTGGAGGCCATAAGCTTTCCTAAAGAGATGGGTTTTAAGGCACTTCTTAAAAGATGCAAGACTAGGGGAGAGTCGGATGGCGGTAGGACCTGATACTCGGCTTTTTGACAATGCCCATAACTAGAGTTAGGGCCCAAAATTTGAGCATATCTGCAAGATCCGTGGGGTGCCACATATTACGCCGATTGTAATGTGACCCCGGATTTGCAGTCAGATATTGGTTGGCAAATAAATTGGTTTGCTCAACCAATAACTGAAATACTTCCTCTGACATGAACAAATCAAAATATTTTAGGGGCTCCCAAGCATCCACCTTAACAGTGATGCCAGGGGTTGCCGTAAATGGGGGAATATCTGGGGCCGTCAGGTTTGGGGGCACCCAGTCTCCATCTGGCATTGGGCTTGCTGAGCGTCCTCTTGTTGGTGGTGGTGGGGCACCATAACTAGAGGAGTCAGTCATAGCCTCAATGTCAGAGGCAGTGATAGTGTCACTGTCTTGCAGAGTGCCACTATCACTGCCTGCCAGAATGGCGTACGTCTCCTCGGCCAAGTAGCGACGTGCCATTCTAGGGGGGACTACTCAAAATTAATCAAAAAAATCTAAGGGGGAAATTACAAAATTCCTACCTGCCTAACACACTACTACCCACCCTCAAAAACCCACAAAAAATAAAATAAATGTACTGATCGCAGTTTAGGCTGCTGCGACCAGTTCTGAAAGGGTTATTTTTATTTTAGTTTTTGTTTTTTTAATAAAAATAACCCCCCCAAAAAGTCAGCCTGATCAGAGAGCCCTCTGATCACAGTGATCACTGGTACAATACTGTACAGTAGCGATACTGTACAGTACAGTGATCACGACAGCGGGGAAAGGATTAAGGGAGATTTGGGTTGCTGTGGCTGACAAAGGATAAAAAAAAAAGTAAAAATATTTTTTGACCCTAAAAAAAATAAAAAATTATAATAATACAAATGTACTAAAATCCCTAAACAGGCTGATCACAGTGTTAAATGCTGTGACCAGCACTGGAAGGGTTAAAAAAACTACTTTTTTAAACTTTTTCTTTATTTTTAACAATTCTCCTACAGGGCTGTCCAGCAACGATCTCTCTGCCTCTCTCTCTCAGATCTAAGTGAGGAGAGGGGCAGAGACAATGTGTCAGCCAGTGATTTAAAATCATTGGCTGACACATTGTAACAGTGATCGCAGTGACTGGCTGACACATTGTAATAGTGATCGCAGTGACTAGTTGTCACTGCGATCACAAACTGCAGATCACTACGGATTGGCCACAGGGGACCTGCCTGGCAACCCAGGCAGGTCCCCTGTGGCCAATCCGTAGTGATCTGCAGTTTGTGAGGGATCGGGGAAACGTGGGTGGGCTTAAACGTGCTATGCCACCGTAAAGGCGTTTAAGCCCATTAACGCCGGGACGGCATAGCACGCCGTAACGGCGTTAACGGGTTAATAACATAGACAATTGTCCAAGTTCTGAACCAAAACAAAACGTAGAATTTGAGCTGTATGTTTGTGCAACCTCTCACTTATTACATATTATATTGTTCAGGAGAAATAGAGCTTTCATTTCACATCAAATATTTATATAAGAACACAATTTATTAAGAATAAAATCTAAAAAAAAGTGTGCGAAATTAAGGAGTTTTTTGCACGGTATTTTAACAGTGAATGTTCTAATACTGTTAGCTTTTACTGCAATAAAACATACATATTTGTGTTCAGCGATTTCTCATGAGTATAACGATGCCCCTCATGTACAGGTATTATGGTGTTTTGAAATGTTACAGGGTCAATTATGGGGCTTGTTCATTTCAGTTTTTACACATTGAAATTTGCTAGATTAGTTTTCTGGTCCTATGTTGTCTTTGAGACCGTATGGCAGGCCAGGAATGAAAATGACTGTGACAGACTGACCCAGTCCTTTTAAGAAATGGTGCTGGACTCCGGACCAACGTTTCCACAAGCGAGCTTTCATCATCATCAAGATCATACAATATATCATAATTGGAGGCTCCTGGAGCTGTAAGGTGTGACATCCTATATTTCTGCAACCTCCATATGTATGACCTCTCTAGCATACCTAAGAGTCACAGACTATGTTTCCTGTGAATCAATTGTCACCAATGATAGCCATATTGATTGTGAATCTGTCACTTCTACATACCTCAGTCTGGGAGCTTAGTCCATTCCAGACACTGTGGTTCACTGGTAAATACCTCAATGGACCAGTCCTAGTCTGGATAACATTGATAACATTGCGATTGCAGGCTAAGCACAAACCTACAAAGTGCTGGCATAACAAAAGTGCAGCACAAGGTTCTAGCATGCTGCTACACTCTCGCAGTACTCTGTCAATAGATATCCCAAATGCACCTCCTGCTACTTTGCAGAATAATGGTATGATGTTGCTGCTCACATCTCTCTTGCCAGACCTCCCATGCTAGAGACCTGAGGGGCAATTGCCCCCCTGACCCTCTCCCAGCTACCAGACCATACCCTCCCCCCAAGTAAGGTTAGTCTGATATACAAATAGCACAGGTTTTCCCTGTAATGTCATATCTGAGCTAAAGCTTTACTGACACCTGAGTAGGAACTAACTGAAAGGGAAACAAGTTGAGTTTTAGCTTAGTGTGCTTCTGTGTTTTTGTTTTTTTTATGGTAATATAATTTGGAACTTGCATATAAGCTATTAAATGTTCCATTATGTATCTGCATCAATTATGGTTTAATAGATTATAATCTAAGTGGACAATGTACACCCTTAATGGATGTTGTGCGCTTATTAGATGGGGAGACACAAATGACTGACTATTACTAAAGTTTCCTTTTGCTATAAGGAAATTTTTTATTTCACAAATAATATCCCATAAAAATCAAATAAATGACTATATGACCATCAACAAGAAACGTGTACATTATTATAACCTCCAAAGGCCCAATCAACTGTATTTTAAAACAGGTTTAATAACATGTCGCAAAAACCATTAAGACTTTTGTGAACAATGTTACTCCTGAGCCATCATGAGCTCCCACAGCCATTTTGTATTGAACTATTTAGAAGTGGATTGTCTTCAAATTACAACCAAAGCCTGTAAAACAGATCTATTAATTGCCTTTGGGAATGCATTTTTATTATTAAATTCCTTCTTTAGTAGCTTTTCCCAGCAGAAAAAGAAAAAAAGTAGAAAAACAATTATTAAATATATATATATATATAACAGAAATATTAATCATATGGAAACTATGACTATGTAATTTGTCAGCAATCATGTCCAACTATTGGGTTACTTTTAATGAAGATTTTTTTTTTTTCATTAAGAATTAAATAAACAATTTTACACTGTAAATTACTAAGCTGTTTTTTTAACTATTTTTTAAAGCTAGTCTACAGCAGAGGTGACCAATTGGTCAATCAGAATCTATCAGTCTACCAGTCAATCTCAGAGAACTGACTGGCCGTTCACAAACACAACATTGATAGACTGTCATCTATCTATCTATCTATCTATCTATCTATCTATTCGCTGCAGTATTCCAATCCTGCTAGCATGCTCAGTGAGGATGATAGTGATTCTCTCTGGCGTTGTGTGAGTGAAGAGGTGGGATAGACACTGAGGGCGAGTTGCGGGATGGTCACTAAAGGGGGAGTTGCGGGATTGTAGCCCATGGATCAGCGCAGCTAAGAGGAATAGGCCTTGACAGAGCCAGGAGGTAGGCATAGCAGCCACAGGAATTTAGTGACAGCTAGCATGCTGGGTAGGGCGGAGCTATAAGGGGAGTATTTATACCAGCCATTATATGAAGTGGCCATTTTAACTGAACCTAAGCTTACCTGTCAGTTGTGAAAGCTGCCTGCCCTGGAGGGAGAAGGCAGCAGCATGGAGGCAGCATAGCAGAACAGGCAGCATGAAGTACAGAGCAGTATTGAGACAGGAGGCAGCATGGAGATACAGGAGAGGCTGGAGTGAGCTGCTACTACATGATCACTCCCATCAGCAGCATGGAGAACAGGCAGTACTGAGACAGGAGGCAGCATGGAGGTACAGGAGAGGCTGGAGTGAGCTGCTACTACATGATCACTCCCATCAGCAGCATGGAGAACAGGCAGTACTGAGACAGGAGGCAGCATGGAGATACAGGAGAGGCTGGAGTGAGCTGCTACTACATGATCACTCCCATCAGCAGCATGGAGAACAGGCAGTACTGAGACAGGAGGCAGCATGGAGATACAGGAGAGGCTGGAGTGAGCTGCTACTACATGATCACTCCCATCAGCAGCATGGAGAACAGGCAGTACTGAGACAGGAGGCAGCATGGAGGTACAGGAGAGGCTGGAGTGAGCTGCTGCTACTGCATGCTCACTCCCATCTGCAGCATGGAGGCAGCATAGAAGAACAGAGGCAGCATGGAGGTACAGGAGAGGCTGGAGTGAGCTGCTGCTGCTGCATGCTCACTCCCATCAGCCTCAGACAGAACTCCAAGCAAGCCACCATCCTGGTCACAAAGGTTGTGGCAGAATCGGGGCTGGTGGCTGCAGGAGCAGCTGGGGGGCCCCGAGCACGTTGCTACCCCCCCCCACGCGGCAGAGGCCAGCAAGGAGAGCGAGGACGCCCCAGCGGCAGCCTGTGAGTGACATCGTTAGTTCGGCAGCCCGTGAGCCTGTCAGGAGGCGGCAAGGGGAAGGCTGAGAATGAGGTCGGAAAGCAGGCAGGAGTTGGAGGGCGGCTGGCGCCGTATGTTCGACGCGGCGCCGGTCAGGCAAGACGGCAGGTCAGGATGAGGCCGCACAGGAAGAGCGCCCCCTGCAATAAGGCGGGGGGGCGGGAAAGCACAAAGGACGGCGGAATCCAGCATGACATGATGGCCGCCAGGCAGGGAGAGCGGCAAGAGGCGTCCTGGTGAGTCTGCCCCTGGTGGCATACCTGAGTGACAGGGGGAATGATGCAAGGGCCCAGCAGTATAAAAGCGGTCCCCCCCCCAATGGGCAGGCGGGGGGGGGTCCAGGTCGGCGGGACACAGACGGAGGCGGCCCTGGATGGGGCCAGGGTCAGGTCAGAGGTGAAGGAAGGGGATAGTGAAAGCAGCAGGCGGAGTCTTCACAGGCACAGCAGAGCAGCTATGGAGGGGAAGGCCAGCAACCAGGATTAATTAAAGGGGCCACAAGTGGATGAGGCGGCCTGGGAGAGGCCAGGTACTGCAAGCAGAGGGCAGAAGAGAGGACATGGACTGGTGGAAATGGACGTAAGGCACAGAGGCAAGCTGGAGCCCCCTGGGGGGTGTTCTCAGGAGCAGGAACACAGGAGGAGCATCAGCAGGTGTGAGTACGGCAGGGAGCAGCGCAACGACAATGACAGGCACAGCAGCAGCGGGAGGTCGGATGAGGGATGGAGAAGCAGGTCGAGGAGTGTTACTTCTACGGGCTTGAGGCTGGACCAGCGCGGACAGGAGTCGGCATCCACCGGATACTCCAGAGCCTGGCAAGGTGGATGGAAGGACAGCGCAGACGGGGGTTCGGGCGGTGAGTCAATAAACACACCACACTTTTTTAAATTGCATAAATCATTTTAGAGTCATGATCAATGAAAAAAGGGGCCGTCCCCGCAGTGCCGAAGGGTGGGGTCACCAGAGCGCAGTCGGGAGGCCGAAGTAAAGGTGGTGGTGATGGCGTGCCGGGTAAGGGAAGGGGAATACGGTGTACCGGTACCGGGGACATCTGACGGGGCAGGAGAACAGTTAGATGTGTGGCAATATTCCAGGCGTGGCGCAACAAAATGGGCACGTGTCCTTCGCGGGGACATTGGGGGGCACTTGAAGGTGGAGGATAAGATTTGATAAAGGGGATTTAAAAAAAAAAAAATTCCTGTCTTCCGCTCGAGGAGTTCATTGATTTAAAAGGGGTGGTTCCTAATGATAGTGCAGGAAATGCGCTCTTTCCGGGGGCTGACGGCGCACCCCCAGGAGGTGCTGTGCTGGCTGGACAGAAGAAAGGTCAGTACAACTGGGGACCGTCGGGTAGGCTTCGATACGGATGTTCCGGAGGCGGTGGGAGTCACGGTGTCAACTGACGCGTCAAAAAAGGAAAACCTAAGGCAGGAAGGGTACTCGGCAGGGCTTCAGCCCCGCGGTTGCGGTTCGGAGCGGCACCAGTGATGATCAGTGCATTGCTGCTGTGGCTAAGGCAGTAAGCCTCCCATGAATGCGCTAGTTTTATGGCTGAGATTGTTGAGGGGGTTTACGCTATTCCATTCAAAGTCGAGGGACCAGGAAAAGTGGTGGGCGAATATCAAGTCCATGGGGGAACTTCCGCGCCATTAGCGGACCTGTGGGTGTCTCCATGGGGGGTGGTCCCCTAGAAATGGGCGGGCAAATTCTGTCCAATACAAAACTTATCGCACCCAAAAGGGGCATCGGTAAATGAGGACATCGCCGCGGAACTGTTCTGTATCGTTGGCATCATTCGGCCTTGCCGTCGAGTTGGTTTGGGGGAACAGGACGCGTTCGATTATTGGCGACCCTTCCATCTTTTGGGTTGCATGTTTGCAGGTTCCTATTGGTAACCTCTACTTGCCAAGGGGCAGTTCCATTCATGTTCCTACTCGGGAAGTTGGATCCGTCTGGGAGTGGGAGGTGAAAAAGGAATCAGAAAGGGGTTCCTTAGTACATTATCTGTAAGATAGCTTGCTGTGTGGGCTCGGCTGGGCCGGGCCGTTGTGGACATACCTTACGGTCACGGGAATCCTACCGCACGTCTTTGCTTGGACTGGAAATTGTTTCGGTGGTAGGAGAGTGTCGATTGCCTGGGGTTCAGTTGACTGCACTTCGGGAGTTCAGGCTGAAGGTTCGCAGGTCCAAGAAGGTCACTGAGAAATCGCAGTTGTTCATAAGGCAGTTTCAAGTTGCATGTCGGGTTAGTCGCGAGGACTGGGTCGGTAGCCATTTCATGGCGAAGGCTACTTGTGGAGCCTTTGCGGGTGGTATCGAGTTGTTCACAGATACCTCTGGGAACATAAATTCCGGGGCATACCTGGAAGGCAGGTGGTGCGCAGAGCGGTGGTGGGAGGCATGAAAGGTAAGTCCTCTTATTCGACGTTGGCATCTTTTGAGTTATTTCAATTGGGAGTGGCTGTGGCTCTAAAAGGTGAAGGATTAAGGGATGAAAAGTCATAATTCACGCACAATACGGCGGGGTTCGTGTGGTTTACCATCCAGCCGGGTCCTCGGTTCAGGAGGTACGCCGATGGCGGCGATTCGTATCACTGTTCAGGTATCGGGTGCAGGCACGCCACGTGCCTGGTTGGCGGAAGGTAGGGGCTGGTTACTTGGCTCGCGCACAAGGGGACAAGCTGCGAATGGCGGCCCCAGGGGGCGCGGGAGGAGGGACTGTCCAGTCTGGAGGAAATGTGGCAGCTCGAGACGCCATGCTTGGAGGATCGATACAGAATCCTATGGCACCGGGCACAGGGACTGCCTATGTGAACGTTTGAGATATGTGGGACAAGGCGGTTGGTTTCACTGTGGGGGCCCAGTCAAAGGAGGGGTGAAGGGATACCTTGCTGTGGTTCCTAAGCCGTTTGTTTGTTCAGCGTTAGCTCCATCAGCAATGGACAGGAGCATGGTGGCATTGTCGTTAGGGTTTAAACTGACTGATTGGGAGGAAGTGACGGAACGTTGTCACGTCCGTCAGGCATCGCGGGTCTTACGGAGAGATATGAAATATGTCGGTGCCGGGCGGCGGGTTTCCTTGGGTAACGCAACGCCTGGTGGTGTATTACCCTACTTTTGCAGTGAGTTTGCTTGCGGTGGCCTTCTCGGAGGCTTGGGGCAATTTGGATTGAGGAACTGGTGAGTGCCTTCAGGCAGGTGTTGGGGAGTTCTACACTTGGTTGTCGAACCTTAGTCGGTTAAGGTAACGATTCAGTAGGGTTGTTCAAGAACGAATGTGTCTGGTAAAGGAGGTTTGGTAAAGCTATATTCCCTGCCGGGATCAGGGGTACGCCCGGTGTTAAGCGCATCATGCTACTTGGAGCTTTGCCCGGACATCCCGGGTGGCTTACTGGTAAAAGGGGACAGATCGGTGCTGTCACGATTCAATTCCCGCAGGTGTTTGTTCGAAGGGGTTTGACAATGTTGGGTTTGGATCCCGGGCACTTTGGGACCCATTCTTCCCAGGTGATGGCGGTAACAGAGGCACCCCACCTGGTTTTAAGTGAGGACCTAGGGAAACGTTTAGGCAGGTGGGAGTCAGTACGGTTTAAGTCCTGTTTCAGGCCAGTCTATTTGGTTTAATGGCTATGGACGTATGGGTTTGTGTTTGGGGCTATGCCTTGTCGCTAATTACTTTCGTTTCAGGTTTGGTGACATGGTTGGTGGGTCATTCTTATATCTAAGGGGCACAGATGGGAGCCGCGTTTCAGTTCAAACGTAACTGGGCTTTCCTTTGAAATTGGTGGAGCAGGAGTGGTTTTGTTTTTCAGGGATTTTGGTGGCAAGACATTAGGGGAGAAATTTTTCCGGGAGGTAACAAGGGGTACTTTCCAGGATTCTGGATATTGGCATGGTCCCGGAAAAGGAATTGATCAGGTGGAGGCAGAGGGAGGTGGACCAGCTATGGGAGCTGGCCACGGGTGTGGTGGTGGTGCGGTCCGAGATGGTTCCTTGGTTACATTGGAGACATACTACGTACCTGGCCGTGGTAGCTCGGTGTCGAGGACGACTTAATAAAAAATTGATGGCGGTATTTATCAGATGTGGGGGCAGTGTAACAGTGAGACACAACGAATTGGGAGGAAAGCTCCCTGGGTACTCCAGGTGGGATGGGGTACATTTTCGGATGTAAGGTGTGATCTGTTTAAATTGGGCCTTCAGGAAGGCATTCAACAGGCCTTATTCCGGTGTGGTGGGGGTCGCTCAGGAGCTTTAGGTGTCAAGTCCTGAGCTGTGGCGGGGAATGGCCTGGTTAAATCGGAGGGTAGATGGAGGAGAAAGTGGGCATCCTGAGGTTTAGTGTGGATTGGGCAGTGTTGCACGTGGTTGGTAGGTTCGAGCCCGTCGGTGGCTCCGAACCTGGGGGTGTGGTGGTGTCTTGGTACACCCTACACTGGAACTGGTGGGTAGCGGTGTCTTGGTACACCCCTACAATGGATATGGTGGGTAGCGGTGTCTTGGTACACCCCTACAATGGATATGGTGGGTAGCGGTGTCTCGGTACACCCCTACAATTTAACCTGGTGGAAATGTGGTCAAATTGGACGGCCAGTTTCTGTGTTAACATGTTATTTATATTGTTATCTATTGTTATTATTGTGGGGTCATTGCTAGGGGTATGTTATGTATATGGGGAGGTTAACATTATTAAGATTTGTTGGCAATGACCCCATTTGTTATTCCTTAATTATTTATTAATAATTTAATAAAGCTGTGGACAAATTATTTCCAACAGTATAACCTGTGTCCGTGTTTTAATGGGGGTTGGGGTAAGGTTAGCGCATATGCCGGCAA